TCATTTCTAAAATATAATCTTAATGTTTATTCTTGTGTCAAAAGCATAATAACTTTATTAGTTCCGAATTAAGATTAATTTTTTAAATGGATGATTAAAATAAGTAAACTTGTAAACGATAGAGATGAAACTTACTTGTAGTTCTTTGCTGTATTTTAGTTTGCAGTTCCTTGTTGTATAATCGATTTGAATGAGAGAAAGCATGGCCAAGTTTTAGTGGTTTTAGAGTACAGTTGGCGCACATATCATAATGCAAAAATCAGATGATTTTTAAATCTATTAATTGAGCTGTTTTTATTATCGGATTTGGTGGATTTAATTAGATAACCGCAAGGTAGTTTTACAGTCGTTTAAGAGTTGGCGCATATATCGAAATACAAAAATCATTTAATATTTCTATTTTATATTTGAGCATTCCTATTACCGGATTTGGCGGAACTAAAGTTATGACGTAATTTTAGCATTTTTGGGTTTTCTGTTTGTGTTAAGTTTTTTTTTATTAAGTTTCAGACTATAATTTTTTTTCATACCATCCGATACTTGTTAGGACTCTTGCCCAGTTAATTTTCAAGAAAATTTCAGTTTGCATGTAAAACTTTTTTTCTATTAGAGAAAAAGTTGTCTCTTAAATGCGCAGACTAAACTAATTTATCCAAAACTAAAGTATCTCTACCATGACATATGCGCAACAAATTTCAAACAGTGTTCTCAGGTTTTTAGAAATTTTACACAGCGTTTTAAAAAGTTCTCTCCCTTTAGTTTGTTATAATATATAATATCTTTATATATATGTAATGTAATGCATATAATATCTATAGGCCTTTAAAAATGTTTTACTTTGTTTTCTAGAAATTTGGAAAATATTTAAAAAAATTATGAGTGTAAGCGAAAGGATTTTAACCCAAGCGAAGCATTTCAACCACTTTGGCATGCTGTATTATCTTTTAACACTGTTTCATAAACAGAAGACTTATTAAACTTTATAAAACGGCATATAAAATAAGGAGATGAAATTATAAAATAAGGAGATGAAATGCTATAAAATAAGGAGATGAAATTTTCAAGTTAAAGTAAATCTGTAAAAATTTATATTATCTACTTTATAAAAATACTGATTACTAATTACAGAACATGAAGTTTACATGTTAAATATATTTTTTTATAAAAAAATATATTTAACATGTAAACTTCATGTTCTGTAAATTAGTTCATTAAATCATATTTTTTTAATATAAGATATCAAACTTTAATTAACTATTGGGAGAAAAACTGAAAACAATAATTACCTGAATTATGTTATCTTCCTATTTATTAGGTCTACAAATAAAATTAATATAAAGTTAGTTTATAATTTACTTGCCTATTAATCACCCTTATCAACAATAACCGTCATATATATTCTTGGCATTCTACTTAACGACCAAGTCAATTCTATGTCACAAACTAATAAGTTTTTTTCAAAAAAGAAATAATAACACCACTGTAAATCAATTTATTTATACATGATAACGAAACAAAATATATAAAAGTTTTATTTACAAAAAAAAATTCAACTACATCTGCATTATTAACTAACTACAAAAATACTAATTAAAGATATAGCGCAATATTTTCCCACCGCTATCTTCTCATATTTTATTTTTTACAGGATCCATACTAAGGATCCTTCTCATATTTTATTTTTTACAGGATCCTTATTAAGAAAGAAAAAGAAAAAAAAATGGCGGAGGAGAGCGAGCTTTTGCTCTAAATTCGGGCCCACAACTTATGTGCCTCGCGAACTGCAATATGCTGAAAAAGCATCGTAAGATATATCTACGATGAAAAATTATCATATGATAGAATTAAAAACATCTTTATATAATAATACTACAAACCAATTTGCCTGCTGCTATTTTTATATAGCATTTTTAAAAACGGGCAAAATTTGAAATGAAAAGGAATTAATAACAAAATTAATGAAAAAGTCAATTAAACAAAATAACGAAACATAAAAGCTATAAGTGCAAACAAATTTTGTAATTTGACTGAAACACAAAACTATTTTTACCTTGATGGCAACAGACTAAATTCTTTATAAACTATTAGCTAATGATCAACAAAGTAAATTTTAAATAATTAAAATTTACTTAGTTAAAACCATATTTAACAGTAGACCAAGTAAACTTATGATAGTTGCTAAAGTACCAAAGTAGAACTAAAGAAATAAAATAACAAAATTTAAAAAGTTTGTAATACAAAATAATTTATAATACATAAAAAAGATTAACTGCAGTTTAAAGTATTCACAAAATCTTAACTGACAATAAAATACCATCTTGCCGTGGATAATCATAAACACAGTCACAGCAGCAAATCATTTCAATATTTTGCATGTTCTACTGACTAAAATTTTGATAGTGTTTAATGCAGAAACAGAAACTTTCACCAAAAATTTACTTAATATTAAAAAAATAGAAACAAAATTTGGAATTGAAAAAAACGCAAATGTAAAATTTTTAATAAGTAAATTTTAAAAGATTCTTTTAAAATAAATTAACTTAATAAAATCTTACCTGAATATCAAACACCTCCAGACAATAACACTCTACTAAATTATTAGATTCATAAAAAATACGATTGAATATCTAACACTATTTAAAACCAATAATAATAAAAAACAACTTACTTATATTTAAAATAAGGTCAACATTAGCTTCTATAAAATTAACAGCCTGTCAAGATTCATCCCCTACTAAACAGACTGTTTCATTAAGTAAAGCATTAAAATCTTTAGCAACTTCAAAAACAAATTAACAAATACATACTACATATAAATAAAAGCATACTTAACAATTATATCATTTATATGATAATAGAATCTAAGATATCTCAAGAAATACAAAACTTACCGCTTGCAAATCTAAAATGCCTTGTGCATAACCAGTTAATAGCGGTCTAACTCTTTCAAAACTATAAACACAGTATAATACTATTTCGATAGTTATCTGAATTGTCATTGTTGAGCACTTGGTTTAAAATGTTTAACGGGGGCAGATATGAAAGTTTAAACTTTTTTATTATCTTAAGATTAGGTTATTTTAACTTTATATCATTTTTAAAAATAACCAAGTTGGAAAAAATGATTTATTTTAAATATAAAATAAATTTTTTACTCATATTCTTAATAGAAACAACTTATTTTATCCCCCTGACTGTGTTCAAAAAAAGTTTGTCGCGGAAAGCTTTAATTATTAAAAAGCAAAACAAAACAATTTCATAGTTCTCTTTTTATTGTGTTCTATTTTTGAATTTTTAAAAAAACCAATAAAAAATTTTAAAAAAAAAGAGAAGGTTCTAACGATTGGACTCAAACCTCGATAGATATTTCAGAATGTCGTCCGCTCGGTCACACTGGCAAATATTCCTTTACTAAATACTTAGATACATATAAAACACGATTGAATATTTTACATAAAATTACATAAAACTAATTATAAAAAAAAAACTTACTTATATTCAAAATAAGGTCGTCTTTAGCTTGTATAAAATTAACAGCCAGTCAAGAATCAATACAACACCTATAAAACAGAATGTTTCATTAAGTAAAACATTAGAAATTTAAAGTTCCGTAATTTTAAAAACAGATGCAAAAATACATGCTATTTTTTTAAGTATATTCAATAATTATATCATTTATGACAACAATAATAGAAGATACAATGTCATTTCAAGAAATACAAAAATCTTACAGAGTAAACATTTGCAATGCCTCGTGCAGTTTGTTCAGATCAGTTTAAAGTGTTCAAGTTGACTCTTCCAATCACATACGGAGAATCATACTATTTTGATGGTTTTCTAAATTCTGTCATTGTTGCGCACTCGGTATAGAATATTTAACAGGGGCGTTGTAAATTAGCTGTAAAACTCTAAATATTTTTATTACCTAAATATCGATAGTTTTAACTTTTTTTTTCATCTTAAAAAATAATAAATTTCATAAGATAATTTATCTTAAATTTAAAAATTTTAAATATTTTTTAATAAAAATACATTTTTAAAACCCCCTTACTGTTTTAAATATTCAGGTCGCCGCGTGGCAAGTTCAAATCATCAGCTTGCTTTTTTTGTTAAATGCACTTTATAGATTTTATATTCTATATATACACATGTTATATACTCATTTTCCTTGCGCGAACTCAACTTAGTTGGAGAAATGTAAATGTAAAACTAAAATAACATGACAATTAAGCGCAACAAATTTCTCCTGTTTTTTGATGTTTTTAGAACTTTTAAGCTTTCTTTAAAAATTCTCTTCCTTTCGTTTGTTTAAGTGTAAAATATTTTTACATTTGTTAAGTATATAATCTCTATACATAATCTTTATTTCGTACTTTAGAAAAATCGAAAATGAATTTAAAAAGAAAACATGCCATAGGTAGGATTCGAACCATGGCTCTTCAGGTCAGCTGCCAGCGAGCTGACCACTAAGCTATGCCACTATGAACGATTGAACAAATTTTAAAAATATATAGTAAATAAAAGTCTTTATAAAACGACCATCGATCAAAATTAAGATGTTGCCGCAATGCAGTTTTCAAGTGAAAGTAAAACTTAAAAACTTGATTCATGTTTTAGTATGTTTTGACATTTCACATTTTGAAGTTTACGTAAGTTAGTTATTAGCACACACTTTCGTTAATGTTTTCTTATAAAAAGGTGCTGCGACTCTTCCTCGCCAGTACCTCGGTTGCAATGGCTGCGTTGGGTTTTGTGTCAAACGTGCTCGAAAGGGAACTACTACTATTGAGTTCCGTATTATTATATAAAGATGATATGTTTCAGTTTTAATGCACAGAACACCCAAAAAATACATAAGTATGCAAAACACGTTACTTGACACTGATCCTGTGAAAGCAAAAAAAAAAAAAAAAAAATTAAAAAAATAAATAAATTTTTTAACTGACATAATAAAACAGAAATGTATTATAATGGCACTTTGCTTAACATTTGATTTTTCT